CAATCAGGGCCCTGGAAATTTTGAATTGGGGGAACAGACGAAGCTGGCTATGAGGAGGCCTTAGAGAGAGAATGAACGGATCAAAATAGCCTCTGCGGTGTCCCGAAGCCTGGCTGGATCTCTTGCCCTTGGATTTCACAAGGTTTCCTCTGGGTCTTCCCAGTAAACTGTCTGCACATCTTTAAGTGGATCACAATTTCTTTCAACCCAGCAGTTACCGACGATGCCAGGACACCCAGTGAAGATTTGTTCTGTACCCCTATGCTCATCTGTTTCACCAGCATCCTTTTTAGGCCACACAAAACAGAGTGAATTAGAATTGCCTCCCATTTACTGAGACCTATGATGTCTCAGTCACCTAGGGGGTAGTTCTTAAAAATGCAGTTTCCTGGGCCCTGGCTCCAGGAATTCTGGGTCAGTAGGTGGGGGCAGGGCCAAGAAAGCTGCATTTTGAGTAAGAAACAAGAGATTTTAGAACCACAGCTTGAGAGATGCTCATTTACTCTTCAAAGAAACTTCTAAGGCAGGTTGGTAGCCAGCCCCCATGACGGTCCCCAACGAGCCTTGCCTCTTGGGGGCCACACCCTTGTGTAGTCCCTTCCCTTACTGAATCATGGTAGGCCGGTGTAGCCAAGAGGATACTGTGGAAGCCACTGTGGCCCCTGCCTCTCTCACTCATAGCTGCTGTGTCGTGAGGACACTCAAGCAGCCCCGTGGAAAGGCCCACTTGCCGAGGAACTGAAATGCCCAGCCAACAGCCAGCACCTGCTTGCCCACCATCCTAGTGCACCTTCTTGCAAGGGGATTCTCCAGCCCCAGAACAGCCTTCAGATGATCTCAGGCATGGCTGACAGCTTAACTGTAACCTCCTGAGAGACCCAGGAGCTAGAACCACCCAGGTAAGCCACTTTCAAATTCCTGACCCACAGAGACTGTGAGATAAATGTTTATTGTTTTAGGCCACTAAGTTTTGGGTCATTATGCAGTAACAGACAACAAATACAGGTAGATACTACTATGATCATGTCCATTTTACAGATAAGGAAACTGAGTCTCTAATAATAGAGAGTCAAACCCAAGCCAGGATGAGTTCAAAGCCATTGCTTTTAATAACTATATACCCTAAGGGGCTGGAAAATGCCACAGACCATTAAAGAGATCAACTGTTTTATCCTTCTCATTGTTGGCCAAGGTCACTCAGTGGTCCCTGCTCATGCCCACTGCTCTGGAGTTTGGAGGGGTGGCCTCAGCTTCCTGGGTGCCTGTACAGCAACACACCTGTGCCTTGGCTATGGAGTTCTTGGCCCCAGTGGTCATTGGCTAATCAGCCAGGTGAGGTCTGACTTTTATATTCACCAGGAGGGGCTGGGAGGTGGAGCTCCTAATGTGAGGTGCTTGACTGGGAGGAAAAGGAGGGCAGGGGTGGCAAGCAAGGACCACAGAGGCCTGAGGTCATGGCCTGTGTTGGGAGTGGGCCCTGCCACTCTCCTCTCTCTCCAGGCAGATGGAACCTCCTACCTTCCTAGAAGTACAAGTCTGACCATAGCAACCCCCTGCCTCACCCTCCCCACCATGGCTCCCCAGTGCACTCAGGAGAAAGGTCTATTTCCCACCATGCCCCAGGGGGCTTCAGGATCTGACCCTTGTCCCTCTTCCTCCATCCACACCCTCCTCTGAACTCCACCCTCCTTTGCACTTGTTTCCTCACGCCCTTGTCCCTGTCCTCTGTCTTGCCAGCTATTCCTTCTGCCCACTTTGTATGCTTCTCCTCTTACTCCTATTGTCATTCAGGTGTCCATGGAGATGCCCCCTCCACCAGGAAGCCTTCCTGGACCCCACTACTCATGCTCTCAACTCTCATGGTATTTCCGCCATGGAAGCACTGAGTACACAGCAGGTACCCAATCCATAAGTATTACCTGGACAAACAGTTGCCAAATCGCCCCCAGCTCGGCTCCCTGCTCTCCTCTGTTCCCCGATCTAAACCTGGGTATGCCTCCAAGGCCTTCCCTGCTATCTCATGCCTCTCTAGTCTCTCCACTCCCAGCTCTCCCATGGTCCCTAGTTCACAATACCACAATTCTGTGTTTTTGCTACATTTTCTACTCTAGACAGGCAGCGACTGCAGACACAATGTCTACACCAAAGCCAGTGGTCCAGATGGAGCTTTGGTGCCCAGAGCCCAGGGGACACACACTTCTGCAGGTTCTTACATGGTTTGTGCATGTCAGATGTGGCTTCCTCCTCCACTCCTGCCCCACCTACACCCTGGGGCCACATTCTGGGGATTTCAGACTCTGACCTCTAGAGCTGCAAACCCAGTGTCCAAAAGGGCAAGTCCTTGGCTTGACTTCTTTTGAGTCCTTATAACTACCTTATAAGGAAGGTCCCATTATGATCATCCCCACTTATAGCTCAGAAAACTGAGGCACAGAGAAGCTAGGCATTTGCTCAGGTCATATCTGTAGCTGGGGTTGAGACCAGGTGGTCTGGCTCCACACCCTGAGCTCTTGACTCCCATCCTGATTCTGAGCAAAGGCTGGGCCAACTGAAATGTCACCCTGAGTAGCTAGCTCAGGACCCTGAGGGCCCATGGGGGCCTTGCCTCTTCCCCGCTACTGCCCTCCTCCCTGTGAGAGGTGCTCAGGCATCCCAGGAGGTCGTCCTGCTGGGTTTGATCATCCTATATCCAATAGTTATCCTAACCAAGGGAGAGGTCATTAATCACAAGGACGTGCGGAAAAACCGGTGATCAGAAGGTTTCCAAAGAGGAAAGGTCTGTCTCGGGATGTCATGCGCCCTTGGCTCATGGGTGAGTAACATTTAATGCCACTTCAGGAACCCTCTCGATACCATTAGTCAGGAAAAAAACAAACCTCTTGCAGCCTGATGCACAGAGACTCACCATCACGGGTCGAAAGAACCCAACGCCTGCTCATGAAAACAAGCAATACAGAGCCCTTGGGTGCCACACAGTTTTAGGTGTTTAACATGCATGATTATTCCTGATAATGACCTTCTGAGTTGGCTGCTCTGATATCCCCATTTTTTAGATGTCGAATCCGAAGCTTTAGTTATACAGCTGGGAAGGGGGTGGGCGTTGGTCACCAGGAAGCCCCTCTTGGCATTTTCCCCTCAGGGGGATGGGGCCCCCATCACTCACACACTCCACTGACATGGGCACAGCTTGTAAAAATCAGCTGGTCTTGGGGTCATGGCCCCCAATTTGGGGGCAGGGTGTGAATCTTGGCTCCTTAGATCTAGACCAGCTTCCATCTGCTGCACTGAGTGGAAAGTGGATTCCAATCCTTACATCGTCCTCTGTTGGAGCCCAAAGCACAACCGCCAACCGAGATGTCCACAGGCCCGAGCAGGTGGCGCAGGCGCAGACTGAGACACACCACTGGCACGTGTCCTGATGGGGGTGGCCGCTGCTCAGTGGCTGCTGTCACACTGGAACTTGGGCCCAGTGTGGCCAGATCTTACTATTTGCAAGTGAAGCCAGTAACTGTGATTTTTACATGATATGCCCCCATATTTGAATGGTGGCAAATGGATTAAAAAAAACAATTTTTAAATATAGCGCTTTGTAAAACACCTCTAAGGGCCAGCTCTGACCCCCGATTTGCACCCCCAGCTCCAGAACAAAGCAAGCAGGACACCCAGACATTATTATACAATTCTGTATTGACTGACGCGTTTATTACAGAACATGTTCCTTTTTTTTTTTAATTTAAACAAAGTTCATCAATCTCTCATAGAAACAGTTTTGTGGGTTTTTGTTCTGTGTTTACCGTTATAGGACGTGAACCTGACAAAGTTGTTCACGGGCCTGCTAGCTTTAGGGACAACAGGATTTCCGTGTTCAAAAGACTATATACTAAGTGCTTCATCAAATCCCGTCACACAAAAGCCAGATGTAGTCCTCTAAGAATCGCAGTCTGCATGTAAGCCTGGATTTCAGGGTTGTGTGGGTTTCAACAGTAAAAAGTGGCATGTTCCCCCACGGTTGCCTTAATTGCGACAGGGCGGTGGTGGCTAAAAGGAGATGTTTCGTTTGTTCCAGATTTGATTGCTCTGAAAATTGGTCACTGTTTCCTATTGTCAAAATACAAAAATACCTTCATCTGGATAAAAATGTATACAGTGGAAAACTCTGTGATGCATAGCCTGGGTGTATGGAAAAGGAGGTTTTCCTGCAGGGTCTGTGTTGTTCTTCATCGGTTGGCGTGGAGACTGCAGCCTGGGCTGGGTGCATGAGAGCTGAGATTTCTGGAACGGCCCTCAGCTGTCTCCTTCTGGTCACTGGATTTTGCCGGCCTGGTTTCAAAATACTTGCTGCATCCTTGGAGCCCTCCCATCAGCCACCTCTCCCACTGGCATTGGGTTGGCACCGATTATGACCGCCTTTCATCGTCATTCTGGACTCAGCTGGGAAGTTGCCCAATTCAGCCTTCCCACAGTTTGGAAAAGTAAAAGAAAACCAGGAGAGATTCAACAACCAATATGGTGGCCGGCCGTTCCATTCAAATTGGGAACTCTCCCCCTAGAAACCAGGATGATGGAGACGCTGGAGAAAGGGTTTCTCTGAGTTGGGGGGTTGAGTCTTTGTTCCCTAAAAGGTCATGTGTTAAAAGGCAGGAGGGTGGACTTGGAGATTATGGTGGTCATGCTGTGGTGAACTCAACCTTTTAGCTTTGTTCTGCATACACCTGGAGGTGCGGGTGCCTTCCAGAAACAGCACTAGGGTCAACGTGAGAGAGAAGATGGTGACAAGGGGAGCTGGGGTCTCTAATTTGATGAATCTACTTTTTGGTGCTGGGTGCTGAGCTGGGGGCTTGTGGGATGAACAATGCTGTTATTTTCTTAAAACGCAAGGAGGGGAAGATGGCAGCTAGCCTTGCTCCGGAAAGCCAGTGGGGAAACTTCCTGCGCTGTGGCCACGATTCAGGTTGGGGAATGGGGTCACTCTGGTTCAAGTGCCACCCTCCAACCACCTGCGCCATACCCCGGTTTCCAAAGGATCCAGATAGATGAGATGGATGTCCAGCCTCCACGGCCCACGGGTTTCTGACTGGAGGGAATGTAAGCAGTTTGTTTGGTTACATCTTGGATAGGATGGTCGGCCACAGCCCACATCTCTACAACATTTACAACGGCACGGGACATTCTGTGCTGTCAAGGTTGCAAAACAGACCACCAGAATGAAACACATCCTCAACGGCATCAGGGTTTTCATTTAGAGTCTTTTGGACTTTCTCTTTTCAGCACGGTTTCTGGAAGGACGGTAGCAACGCACTGTGTCTCACAGACAGACGTGGAAAAAAAACCGCGGATCAAAGTTTATCTAAATTTTGGTCAGTCTTATAGTGTTTTGTGATGGCTTTGAACAATTGTCTTCTTTTAATCTCATCTAGTGGCAAAAACGACACAACTTCAGTGTATACTTCGCAACAGTTGTGACAGCGTCCTGATTTTATAACTCTCTGTAATATCAAAACAGCATTGGCTGGGAATAAATTCCAAAGGATCCTTTATTAAAATATCTAAAAGAGGTCTATAAATATTTATTTATTTTTCTAAAAGAGTTGTGAGTTTCCAGGTGAAACTGTGGCGCCACTTCGCTTCTGTCTCCTGCGGAGAGATCCGGGTGGAGAAGAGGGTGCTCCCTGGGGCCGGGGCTGCTGAAAAGAGGCGGCAGCGGCACCCGCCCCACCTGCTCACTCGCAGCTTCGCAGAACTAGGATTACAGCAAAATGTAGATGGCCTAAAGGTGCTGTCCACGTCGTGGTGGTGAAGCTCCTCCTTTCCTTACGTCGCCTCGTCTGGGAGAAAGGGGTGTGAGGGGGAGGGTGGCCGCCCAGGGCGCCCCCGCCTTTAGAACTCCCACTCCAGAGCCTCCTCCCGATTGGCAGCCCTCTCCAGCCGGTAGATGATGCTGTTCAGGTTGGCCATCTTCTCGTGCCGCCTCTGCAAGTTGGGGTTCACCTTGGCGCTGGGGTGCAAGGCTCCGGCCGTGTCGGCAGTGGGGCTGGCACTCGGCACTTTGTTGGGGGGGACGCCGGGTGGGGAGGGGGAGATGGGAGCTGAGGAGGAGGGGACTGGGGACACAGACATCATGAGGCCCGGCGAGGAGGCAGCCGAGGGTGAGTTCAGTGACGCTTCTAGGCTGCAGCGTGAGGACTCTGAGGCCGACTTAAAACTTAGAGGGTCTGGGTGGAGCCGCTCCCCACCCTCGCTCTCCTGGGGGGGCTGCAGTGAGGGGCAGGCTGGGGTGGTCCCGCCGGGAAGGAGCAGCCCTGGGGCTGCTTTTGGGAGTCCGTCGTTACCCAGAGGGTCGGGATGCACCTCCGTGGAGGAACCCTGGCCTTCGTCTGGCTCCTCTGAATCCCGGAGCTGGCCGCCTGCCCCCTCCTCGGCAGTCTCCTCAGTCTGTTCCTCCTTAATCCTCACTTGAGCCTTGTCCTGGGGGGTCAGGGGTGTGATGCTCTCCTCGGGACCCTCCTGGAGCTTTAGTTCTTTCACGGTAGGTTTCTGGTCCTCAGCCTCAGAGTCAGGGCTCGGCAGGGTGGGGTCTGGGTGGGAATGGCCTGGTGGCAGGATGCCAGGACCCCCACTGGGCTCGAGGTCTGGTTCCTCTTGGGACCCTTCCACCAACATCTCCCGGCGCATCCGGGACCTGGGGCAGAGACGGCGGTGAGCAAGGGGCGAGATGTGGCCCCGGCTAACCCTGGGCTCAAATCACACAAGTGGCATTTGACCCCACCCACTTCCCTCGGGGGCTCACTAGGCACTAAGCTTCTTCACATCCAGCATCTTAGTAACTTCACAACCCCACGAGGTGAGAGCTATTATCATCCCCACTTCACAGAGGAGGAAACAAGGCTCAGAGATGTTGAGTGACTTGCCCCAGGTCACACAGTCGGACTTGAACTCAGGGCTGTTGGATTCCAAAGTTCACAATATGGACCTGTCCTGTCCAGACAGTAGCCACTGGTCACATGTGGTTCTCTCAGTAATAAAGTTTTTATATTGATTACATGTTGATATGGTTATATTTGTATGTATGGGTTAAATACAATATACTGTTATAATTTAATGTTTCTTTTTATTAAAAACATGTGGCTATGTAGCTTTTATTGTATTTCTATTGGACAGCGCTGTTCTAGAGCATTTCTCAAAGTCAAACCCAGATCTAGTTTGTGGCAATAATTCCCTGCTTCTTTCCTGAAGGGACTCTCAGACATCCGTCCCTTCTGATGAGGCACATACAGTAACTTGTCTAGGTCAGCAAAGCACACAGAGACAGAGCCGGGACCAGAACCTGGTACCCTGAATTCTAGTCCAAAACCCATCCTCTCTTCACTTCAATGGGCTCCTTGCTGTTGGAGAGAACCTTAGTCTCATACACTGTGTTTTAGAGCAGGAAAAGCTAGGAATGGGTCTAACTCCATTAATTATTTTCCTGTATAGCATGAAGTCCAGAGAGGTCAAATCACTCGTTCAAGGTCACAGAGCAACAGGGCTTCCTCAGCATCTTCAAAGCTGTAGCCCTCTGCCCATTTATAGTAATAATATCATATATTATATTAATAACATAATAATAACGAAGTACACGTTTACAGATATACAACACTACCACTTATAAACTGTAATTATAAATACCATAATCATGGGTGCTTACAATGTATCAGGTGCTGGCCCAGCACTTTCTGCAGATTATTTCATTTATTTTTCATAATAACCTTATGAGGGGGATGCTAGTCTCACTCCCACTGACAAAGGTGACAAGGCTCAGAGAGGCACAGGGAAAGCCACGGTCACACAGCCAGCAAGCTGTGCAGTTGGGCTCTGAACCCAGCCATCCAGCTATACTCTCCTGCCTCCCTGCCCAGGTTGGGGGTGGGGCCCCATCCCAGGAACCTGAGCCTGGGGGAATATGAGGGGTGATCTGGCTCACTTCCCTCTCTTAGTCCCTAATCCCTCCACAAAGACAGCCTTGCTCACCTTCCAGGGGACTCTGCCATCTCCTTTAGTCCCCTCGAGAGGGAAGAGCTGCTGGTAACAGAGGGGAGTCCTAATTGTTTCCACTAAGCTGGGATTTGAGGGTGTTTTGTTTGTTTTTGTTTTCGTGGGGAAGTAATTAGGTTTACTCATTTATTTATTTTAATGGAGGTACTGGGGATTGAACCCAAGACTTCACGTATGCTAAGCACACATTCTACCACTGAGCTATACCCTCCTCCCTGTTTTGGGATGGTGCAAGGCCTGAAGCTCTGTAATCAGAACTTCCAAACTGTAGATTAAGTATAAATATGAGACTAATAGTCATTCACACCATAGTAAAAATTAGCCACCCCACTTCCTCACTCCCAAGTCTACAGCAGTTTCCTCCTGGTAATTTTTTCTCAAAACATCCTACTGTTCACCTTTCCCAGAGCTCACTGTAGTTTGTAATGACACATTAATACGAGTACTCAGTCAACAGTGACCTCCCCTGCTGATGTGTAAAGGATGCAAGGACTTTGTCTTATTCTCTCTGGTGCCCGGCACAGAGCAGGTGAGCGATAATATTCACCAAATGAAGCAATGTATTCTCCCATACTTATAACTCCTTGAGAGTGGTTTCTTTTGGGAGGGGAATTCCATGCTCCTTCAAAGCCCAGCTCAAATACCCCCTCTTCTATAGAATCTTCCCCAGGTAAAATTCCCTTTTCTTGTAGTCTGCTACTTCCTGTTTCACAGCTTTTATTACGCTATAGTGAATGTATCTTGTTTACGATGTTAAGCTCCCTAAGGGCAGGGATGATAGCCTTGAACCCCGGTATCTCCAGACCCTGGCTCACTACGCATACATGGCAAATTTTGTTGAGTGAGTATGTTGGGTAATAATGGCAGGCTCAGTTCCTGTGGGAAACAAGAGGGGAGAGAACACCCCCACATCCCACTGGGAGGAAGGACATAAGGCTTTAAGGACCTCTGTCATTTGTCGTTTGGCAGACTGAGCCAGAATAACAAGCAATATTTACAATGTGTTTATGCCTAAAGTTTTTCCTTGGATCCTCAGTTCAGCATTGTGGGGTAAGTATTAGGTTCCTTATCTGTAAAATAGGGATGAGACTCAGAGAGGTACAGTGGTTTGCCCAATAACACATAGCGAAGTGTGAACTCAGGTCTGTGGATGCCCAAGCCTGGGCTGTGGAGAGGGGATTTCAGGTGTTCCACCCTTCCAGGCTCCTCCTTCCTCTTCTCTCTTGGGGATCAAGAGACTCTCCTCTCTGGCACCACAGGGGCACCAGAGACATCACTTACTCTAACTTGGTGGGGAATGCCTCGGAGATGGGCCTTGAAATCCCATCCAGTCCTCTCCGCAGGGCTCTCAGGAAGCCCCTCGCAGTCCCCTTGGGAATTGCTGGACCCAGTCAATGCCCCGCGCTGGCCCTGGGACTAAACCCCCAGGCAGCCCAGCTACTGCAGGTCAGCTCCTCCTAGGACTAGGGACTGGTGAGCGGGGGAGGGAAGCTGCAAACAGGCGTCACCCACTCCGAGGCAGGTGGGGCCCGAGGGGCTGCCAGAGGGGTTTCCTTGGGCCTCGGGGACAGGAGAGGCCAGGAGCTCTTTCAGGGCTCTGGCAAGGCTCAGTGGGTAGGCAGGGTTCCTCAGGCCTGTGCCCCAAACACCATTTCCTGACTCTTTACAGAGGCAGATGCAGAACAAGCTGGGTGAAGGCATAATAAAGATCATGTGTGCCTGGTCTTTTACGTAAGTCTGTCAGCCCCATCACATCCTCCGGACAACTCTATGAAGAGGATCCCACCTCGGTTCCCATTTTATAAGGTGGAAGACTGAGGCTCAGAGAGGCGAGGTCACTTGCTCAGGCCTCACAGCTGGAAATGGTGAAGCTGGGACTTACATTCAGGTTTGCCTGTGTTATGAATCTAAACACCTGTGCAATACGGTCTCCACATCGCCCAGAGGCCACGCTGGGCTCTTCCAGGCCCTGGGGAGGGGAAGTGGGTCTGGCTGAGACCTCTGCCCACCCGCCCAGCGGCCGCTCCCCACCAGTGGGCCCACCTGTAGTTGTGGAACCAGTTGATGACGGTGTTGGTCTTGAGGTTGAGCTGGAAGGAGAGGAGCTCGATGGTCTGCTGGGAGGGGTAGGGCTCCAGCTGGTAGGCCTTCCTCAGCGCCTCCTTCTTCTCAGGGGCCAGCACCACTCGGGGCTTCTTGATTTGCAGGAGGCTGAGGTCCTGGGGCTGCAGGCAAGGGCTGGGGCACTCGGAGCGGGTGGCTGGAGACTCACTGTCTGAGCCGGTGCTGATGAGGCCGTACCTGCGCTTCAGGTAGGCTGAGGCGGGCGGGGCAGGGAGGGGGGAGGGCTGAGAGGGGCCGACCAGCGGCCCATCGCTACCGAGCTGAACGGAGCGTCAGCCAGCTGTCCTCAGAGCCCTTCCAGCCCCAAACCTAGGGCCCCCTGCCCAGTCTCAGCCTTTTCTCCCTCCTCGCTCTCCTTCCACTTCCTCCTGATCCTGCGGCCGAGACGCTGGCCTACCCACACCTGCCCCCGTGTCTGGTCATTAGCAACCTCAGTGTTAACACCTGTAGAGGGTTTAGCAGGGTGCCTCGCCTCACAGATAGGAAGTGCTTGCAGAAGGCTGCTCTGTGGCATTCTCTTGATTGCCAGAAGTGTCCTTGAATTTCACTAGTTTTATTGCGGGTGGGGGCAGGACATTAATTTTCAACAAACACAGTAATTGCATGATGCATCTCAGTTTCAAATCATCAAAAGGTGGGGGGAAAAAGCCCACCTCAGAATGGAGGAAGGAAGGTATTAGGGTCTCCTTTAATCCTCACGGCAATGCCCTGATTGAGATGCTACAACTCTTTCTTTCAGATGAAGGAGGAGGCAGCAAACAGAGGGGAAGTAACTTGCCCAAGGTCACACAGCCTGGGAGCAGCAGGTCAAGTTCTCAGCTGTCTGACGCCAACAGCCCAGCCCTGGCCCTGCCCCACATGCCCCTTACTGCCTGGCTTGACCCTGGACCCTCATCATGAACTTTCTTGGTGCCCTGGGTGACAACTTTTCAACTTGTATCTTATCTCCCAGCTGGACCCTGAGAGCTTTTTAAGACCCAGGAATCCTCTACGCACAGCGTGAGGCCAGGTGGGCACAAAGCAGGTGCTGAAGGCCGGCTCTTTTTTTCAGGGATATAAAATATTTGACAGTGTGACCATCTGCAGTTCCTTGTCCACTCCCACGGTAGGGATTCTTGCTGGGTCAGTTCTGTGCTTTGCTGTGTGGAATCTGGGTAATGGGCAAAGGCGGTTCACACGAGAGGGAGCTGATGCAGAGGACGGAGGAATCAGTGCGAGAGGACGTTTTGAGGAATGTATAGTTGTGGTTGGAAGACTTGGGAGTAGCTCTGAGTGTGTGAAGGGATGCTGAGAGAGATGCGGTATTGGAATTTTCAGGCGAGAAGCAGTAAATATTTTAATGGCTTTCAGCTCTATTCTGTGGGATGGCTATGACTGGACCCCAGGGCCCCTGGTTTATTTGCATTACAACCAGATATGGTTCCAATGGGAAGACTCGAGGCCAGATCCAGAGTACCCAGTGCTCACCTTTCTTCTCCAGCTTCTTCATGTCCCTCAGCTTCTCCACATTGTGGGGGTCACTGAGCCACAGCTGCATGCGCACAAAGGGCTCCCGCCCCTTCAGGCTTAACTTGTGCCAGGGTTTGGGCCTGGACAGCAGGTCAGACACGGAGCCCTGCGTCAGCCCCAGGATGCTCTCCCCGAACAGCCGCTGCCCTGGGGACACAGAAGAGGGCAACCTGTTACCCCAGGCTGGGCAGGGGTGCTCCCAGGAGAGACAGAAAACGGGCCAGAGACAGGGGAGAGCTCGGGGAAGGTCTCCACTAACTCAGAAGGGAGAACCAGACACACAGGGGAAACCCAACCCCAGTGTGATTCTAGGGGAGACCTTTCGGCAAAATATGAGATGGGGGGCAGACAGAAACCAAAAATGCTTTTGTAACTGAGATGTTCTTCACTCCCAGGGGATCCCTGAAGTTACCTGTAAATTTCATGCGTACAAATTAGTATCACCTTGTCAGAGAGTAATTTGACAGATTCTATCAAAATTTCAATGTGCATATCCTCTGAACCAGCAGGTCTGCTGCCTGGAGTTTACCTTCCAGTTGTACTTCCCCAAGGGCACAAAGATGTGTATGGACGTAGTTTCAGAGGCAGCAGGAAATTGGGAACGAGCAAAATGCTCAACAGTTGGGTAAAAAATATGGGGCATTTATGGCCTGAAACACTTTGCAAGTGACAAAGAATGCAGGCGGTCTACTCATTCTAATGTGGAAGGGTGTCAGCAAAAGTGTTCATTTTTAAAAAGCAAGATGAAGGATAGCATATGTGTAATTTCATCTATTTAGAAATAAAGAAAAGAAGAAACTAGATGTGCATATATTCTTGTATGTGTTCAGTAAGTGTCAAAGATACAGAAAAACTATGGAGGGTGCCTGGATGGTGGGGGGATTTTGTTTATTTAAATTTTAACCTGTGTTTTTTTCTGTATTGTTTGGTATTTTAAAATGATGATGCCTTATTTTTATAATAGAAATTGTAGGGAAAAGTTGGGGTTTGTGTGCATCCCTCTGGGTGGGGGTTTGACTTGCATCTGAGACTTGGGGGAGTTTGTGACTCAAAAAATTAAAGAATCCAGATTTCTCCTCTGTGCCCCCAGCACTGGATCAGGATTGTGCTCAAGTCTCACCGTTACTGGGATTCTCTCAGTCCTCCTAGAAGGAAGTTTTGAAAGCTGTGGGCTAAGGATTTCAGGTTTTGTCAGACCAATATTCACCTCCCTTTTGTCCCATTGACACCCAGGTCAGAGTCAGATGCCTCCCAGAGGGTCCTGGATGCCCGGGGCTGACCGGCACCTGCAGGCTGGACCCCAGTGCCTGGGATCTCACTGCAGGCATTTTCCTCAAGGCAATAGGAGCCAACCAGGATGGGAGGCAGCATCCCTGATTCCCACCACCCTGTACCTAGGTTGTTGTCTGTGAGGACCTCTTTGACCCTCTTGGTGATGGAGTATGTGTCCAGTTCGGGGGACATGGCCACAATCTCCTGGATGCCCCCTGTGGTCTGGCTGCTCGAGTATATCTTTCCACCCAGTGAGGAGCTGGGGCGTCCCTCTGGCTGCTGGTTCTCCTTGCTGCTCTCCAGTGCCAGGCTCAAGGGCTCCTGCGAGCTCTTCTCCGGTGGCTCCGTGGGGCTAGGGGGTGGGGATGGCGAGGACCTTGGTTCGGTGGGACTGGCTGTGGGCCACAAGGAGACAGAGAAGGCAGTTACTGCAATCTGACATAGACATACATGGTTTGGGCAGGCTTGTCAGTTAGAGCCAAGAGCTGGCAACAACCCATTTTGCAACCACCACAGGATTATCTCAGGCAGGGACCACCTGGATGTGAACACTAGCAGATCAAAGTTAGGTGAGGACTAGGATTTACATAGTTCCAAAATATCTCCCCACAAGATACTTAGTAATTACAAAGGGAAAAGTAGTAACTTTATAGCACAGCCAGCTGGTAGACACCACCTTAACCAAATGATCAAAGTTAACATCACCAGTCACAGGATAAATCAACAGCTGGTGCCTCCTGATTCAATGTACCAAGAAGGAAGCAGCATCACTTCTGTGACAGTCCTGCCCATAGTGCACAGCACAGCCTGCATCTAACCACGAGGAAGCAACAGACAAAGCTGAACTGAGCCAGTCTACAACGTAGCTGCTTCTAAGTCTTCAAAAATATCAAAACTGAAAAACAAAGAGAGGAAGAAGAATTGTCCAAATTGAAAGACACTAAAGAGACATGACTAAATACAAGTGATCCTGAATACGATTCCAGACAGGCAAAGGTAAAATTATACAAAGGTGATTATTGGGACAACAGAGGAAACCTGGGTATAGATGGTCGGTTACATAACAGCACCGTACCATTGTACAATTTCTCGTTTTGGGGAAACATTGAAGTATTTAGGGGCAAAGGGACGTGATGTCTTCAACTAATTTCTCAAATGGTCGAGAGAGAAAGAGCACAGATGTGGCAAAATTAGCATCCGGTGAACCTGTGTGTAGGGTATAGGGAGTTGGTTTCTATTATTTCAACTCTTTAGTAAATTAGAAATTACATCAAAATTAAAAGTTAAGAAAAAAAAAAGTTGGCAATGATCTACAAGTCCAATTGCCAGAGATTAGCTAAATAAAATATGGTTAGTTCCTGCAGCAGTTAAAAATAATGTAATGAAAAGACATCCACGTGAGATGATTAAGTCCTGGGGAGCTAATGGACAGCGTGGTGACGGCAGTTAACGATCCTGTATGATGTACTTGACACTGCTGTGACAACAACAAAATGGTGACTATGTGAGGGAAAGGATGTACTAACACTGCTGACGTAAACATTTTGCAATATATACGTGTATCAAATCGTCACATTGTACACCTCAAACTTACATAGTGTTCTATGTCAAATGCATCTCAATACAGCTGAGAAAAGAAAAACAGGAAGATATCCACAGTACAAGGGCACATTAAAAAAGTGAGTTTTAAAACCGTTTTTCATTTGCCGAGAGACATTTTGTGTGACTATATATTAGAAAACCACTTAGAAGATATCCTGGGTGGGATGACTTTGCCGAACCTCAGCTCTGGAATCTATTAAATGGGGGCATAAAACATGCAGGGCTACACTTGCAATCACCCTACTCAGGGCCATTGAGAGGACGTCATGAGATAACTAGGGTCACTTCCTGAGGAATAACAGTTCCCCACCGGACATTCCAGCATGAGCTGAGCCTCCTGACAATCCAGGAAGGGCAGGCGCCTCTAAAAGGTGGGGAGCGTGGTGGAAGGTCTATGGATCTCAGTGCTGGTCCATAAGGTGCCTTCCAGAAAAGTAGAAAAAGGTGCCTCTTCCTCAAGGCATTTAACTGGTACCTGATGGAAATTTGTTAACATAAACATAAAAATGTATGATAAGTAGGAAGTAAAAGGAGCCCCCAAACTGTCCTGCAGTGGCTTTGATTCCAGAAAGGACATTCTGAGCCTCTCTCTGCTCTAGATGGGTTCTTCTGTCCCTGTGGACAGCAAGTGGATCACTCTGATCAGACCACTCTCATGCTCCAGAACCTTCAATGGCTCCCACTGCCTCCGGCATAAGAAACGTCTACTTCCTTGTCCTGGTGTTAAGGGTTCTGGATTCTCTTTTCCCCACCCACCTCACAGACTTGGAGCTACTCACAGTCCCCCTAGTCACCCGACTCCCCATAAACCTCCTAGGCTCTTCTAAACCCATATGCCTTTATTCAAGCTGATCTTCCCACTCCGAACGCCTTCCCCTTAACCTTGAACTCCTATGCATCCTTCAAGACTCAGTCCCAAATGCCCCTTCACTGAGGTGCATGCCTACTAGCACCTTGACTGCACACTGTCACACTTCCTATAATTTTCTACTTGTGCCAGATCTCTTCCTAACTGGATACAACAATGATGATGATGACAATGATGATAATAACTCATGAAGCTTCCTTTTACTGAGCACTTACTACGTGCCCTGGACAGCGCTACATGTTTTACACCCATGATGTCAAGTCACCCTTGTAACACCCCTAGGAGGTAGGTATGATGGCATCCCATTTTACAGATGAGGAAACTGAGGCTCAGAGAGGTTAGGCAATATGTCCAAGATCACACAGTAGCTAGTGGCGAAACCAGGACTTGAGCTCAGGTCTGCTTACCCTCAACATGGTCCTCTCATCCACCAACTAACAGCCCCCAGACAGCAGGACCACATGTTAGTCTTAGAGCCTGGGGAGGCAGGACGTGCTGCTGGGTGAATAGATTTTGGCCAGGGCCCCCAATTACCCCTAAAGATGCAATGTGAAACCTCAACGTTCTGGGCAGTGGCATCACAGGCCAGTGTGGCAGGCAGCCCACGTCTGGGGTCATGAGGACTCTACCCACCCCCACCTGTTGGCTGAGCCTGGCCATTCAGGTGGCCTCTGTGCGACGCCAGAGCTGACATGGACGTGTCTCCCGTAACTGTTACCAGCAGAGATGAAAACCTGGTAGGGAAGGGCCAGCCTGAGACAGTGAGAGACTGCTTCAAGTGTCAAGCTACTGTCGGCAGGGGAGAGGGCTGTGCCCAGCTGGAGAATGGAGTGTTTTCAACGGCATCTGCCTCTTGGAAAGCCACCTGTTCCCACGTCCCTACCCAGGGGGCTGGATTTCCAGCCAGAGGTGCAGTGGGATGAGGAGAAGGAAATAAATCCAGACGATGCACCTGAAGCAGCAGCCCCGACCCACCCCCTCCACCCCCTCCAGGGAGAATGCGCTGACTTCAAGGACCATTTCTGACAAAATGACTGAAAGATTCAGAAATCAACTCTCTCAGGAGGAACACACCAATTATAAAGGGCTGGGAGGTTGGATGGGAACAGTCAGATTGGCTGGGGCTGTGTCCCCTGCCTGGGATGGGGCTTTGTTGGGGGCACTGGACAGGGTGTGGGCAGGGTACTAGGGGAGAAAGGGGGAGCATGGGGTGACCAACTGGTTTGCCTGGAGCATTCCTGGTTGTGGTATAGAAAGTCCCAAGTCCTGGGCAACTGGATGGCTGGTCATGATAAAGAGACAGTGAGGGAGAGACACAAGGAGGGAAAGGGAGAGACAGGGAGAGAGGCAGTGAGGGACGCACAGGGAGCAGAGGTCGAAGGTGACAGTGAGAGAGGGAGCTGGTGAGAGACAAGAGGGCGGGGAGAACAAGAGACAATGACGGGGGAGGGAATAGAGGGAAGACAGAGCACTCGGGAACTCTGAGAAGCCTCAGACAGAAGTTCCTGGACACTGACGTCAACTACTGTGGGCATTGCGAACAGGGCTGGTTAATGAACCCAGGGTCTGGGGCAGGCAGCGAGCACAGGGGAAGGCATGCTTTAGAATCCTGCCCTGGCATCTGGCTCACCCCCAATTCCCTAAGGCTCCAGCACCAGTCCCTGCCCCACTGCCTGGTGTTGGGGGGCTATGGACAAAATGGGGGCTGGCACAGGTCCAGACCCACCTCCATGGTAGGACCTCACGGGTAACAGGTCACTCTCTTGCCTCTAGGCTGAGGATGTGCAGGCGTGGGGGCCTTGGTTGGCTCCGTCACCACCCATCCCTGGGGCCAGCAGCTAGCACTCACATCTCTGCTCCCAGGAACCTGAGTCCTGGCTTCCTGGTCTGCAGGTGAGCAGAGAAAAGGTGCTCACCCTCCTCTGCACTCACCTCCCAAACTGTATGATCCTGCCTCCCTGCCTTTCCTTGTGCAGGTTCTTCCACTAGAACACCATTTTCATTGTCTTTGCCTAACTCTATCCCTACCTCAAATCCTTCTACAAGCAAGAGATTTTTTCAAAAACCAAAACAATTAGACATTGGGGAAATGCCAATATAAATTATGAGATACCACTTCACGCCCACTAGGATGGCGAAAATCAAAGATGGAAAACAGCAAGTGTTGCCAAGAACGTGGAGGAATAGGAAGCAGCAGACATTGCTGCTGGAATGTAAAATGCTGCAATCGCTCCACTAAAACAGTTTGGAAATTCCTCAATAAGCTAAACACAGAATCACCATATGACCCAGGAATTCCAATTCCTCTATAGCCAAAGGAATTGAAAACTGGTGTTCAAAAACATGTCCATGAATAGCAGCATTACTCACAATAGCCAAAAAGTGGCTTAGCCCTTCAGTGGAATATTATTTAGCCATAAAAAGGAATGAAATTCTGACACATGCCACAACATAGAAGAATATTCAACATATCATGCCAAGTAAAAAAAAAAGCCAGACACAAAATACTGCATATTATCTTGATTCTATTGACATGAAAATCCAGGAACAGGTAACTCCACAGAGTCAGAAAGCAGACTGGTTGCCAGGGGCTTTAGGGGAGGAAGGAGTGGGAGTGGCTGCTGAATGGGCATGCGGTTTCCTTCGGGGGTCGTGAAAATGCTCTGGAGTTAGACAGAGGTGATGGTTGCACAACACTGTGAATGTACTAAATGCTGCTGAGATGTATACATTAAAAAAATGGCTAAAATGGTAAATTTTGTTTGTGAATTTTACCACAATGAAAAAAAAATTAATTAAAATGCAACACAAGACAATACCAAAAAGGAAAAGGATTTGGGACCCTTTCACAAGCATGGGCCCTGTGGTGGGCATCCGAGGAGGCAGGGATCTAATGGCTGACAATCTTGTGTTCTAATCCTGGCTCTGCCACTGACTGGCCAGTGACCTTGGGCAAGTCACTGTGCTATTCAGACCCTCGATCTCTTCTTTTATAAAACTGAAGGACATGAAGATTGAAGAAGAAAGCACTGCAGGTGGTAAGCATTGTGTGTGACAAATGACCACCGTCATTACAATGGTTGCACTAGTCCTCAATTATAAAACAGAAAGTATTTCAAAGCTATAGAAATATACAGAAAGTACAAGTCCTCCCTCCCTTCCCTGGGCCCATCACCGTAACAGATGTGAACACTGCTCCATTTGCTGCCACTCTCCCTGTTTGTTTTAAAGTAAAAAGTATCAGAGACAGCCAGAGCCCACCCCCCTACCCCTCCCCTGCCCGGTCTCTTCCTGGCCCCTCCCTCCTGGAGAGCCCCTCCCCCGGGCAGGTGGGAGCAGGCTGCTTTTTCCACATCTGTCTATGGTCGTTAACGTCCAGAACAAGCACCATCACTGGGATGTAAGCTTTAGTTCCTGACATTCTGTTTCAGGTCATGTTCCCGAGGATACCTGTCGATCTGGTTCATTTCTGTGAACCTGGGATATGGTTTTGTTCTGTCGACTGATCCCCACTTTCCAGATGGACAAACTGGCAGAGCTGAGGTCCTCAGACTTGGAGTCTGGCCTCTCCTTGTCTTTGTCTTTCTCTGGTCTCAGCAGGCAGATCAGATGTCCTGTCCTGGCCACCATGCCCCCTCATGGGTGGCACCTCACCAGGGCCCTGACGGATCTGCCCACTGGTTGTCATGGGGGAGGAAGCTTGGGTTCCATGGAGTGTTCCCCCCTTACCCTAGGGATCCCCCTCTCCACTTTCTGTGAACTTGGGCAACTCTCTGAGCCTCAGTTTCCTTTTCCAGGAAAAGTTCAGACTCCACCCTGACAGTGCATCATTAAATGGATGGATAACAGCTGCCCAAGGCCCTGTGCTAAGAAGGATTTTGAGGCTACATGTTGGATCATTGGGAAAAAGAGATTGATCAGCAGATTCCTGACGGGAGTGGCAGGGTGGGGCTCCCCATGCAAAGCATTTTCTCCACTGCTCTAGGCACCTCGGCGCTACCTAGAGGTTTAAAACCAGTGACAGACATGTCTGGTTGAAGGAAGGATGAAAGGGGAGCAGGGACACCAACTAGGAGCAAACTTCCAGGGCAGCAACAGTGGTGGCCGGGGCAGTGGGGACTGAGCAGGGCAGACCTGGGCAGTAAGGCCATTGCACAGACTGGAAGGGCGAGGGCTCTCCGTGGCTCTGGGGCCCCGTCTGCACTCACCCTGGGAGGCGCTGGGCTGCTGGCCGATGGCCTGGGCAAGCTGGTCCGAGAGCCACAGCTGCATGCGGATGAAGGGCTCCCGCCCCTTCTGCGTCAGCTTGCTCCACGGCTTCGGCCGGGACAGCATGTCACTCACGCTGCCCTGGGACAGGCCCAACACCTGGGGATGGAGAGGGCAGGAAGGGTGGGTCACCAGGTCGCTGGGACCCTGGCTGTCCTGTCCACCACTAACCCCAGGACCCTTAAGGCCACTGTTCACTCTTGCTACCTGAGAGGCCAGGGCTGCCTTCAATTGTCCTTCATGCCCCAAGTGCCTGCTGTGTGCCTGTACTGTGCTCCCCACCGGCAGTGCTCTTCCTGATCTTCCTATGTGTAAAAATCCTACCTGGACTCTAAGACCCCTTAAGTGTCCCCTCCTCCAGGAAGCCTTCCTGTGTCTCCCATTCAGGTCACTTCTCCCTTCTCTGAGCTTATGACTTTATGCTCGTTACAGGCAGAGGTGACGTTAAAAACTACCTAACGACTGGTACCAACTAATCAGTAGGCACCCCCCCCAACCGTTGCCCCCATCAAGCTGGGCTGAGTCTTAACCAGCCAGTGGCTGGACCATGGGAGGGAAGGAAGGTCCCAGAAGAGGGTGGGTAGGTAGCTATTTCCTAACGAGATGGAAGCATTTCACTGCTTTAACAACCACAGAACTGAATGCCAGCCTTGCCCATGGCCCCCTTCCTACAGGGCCTAGGGATAGCTGGACACAGGGATAGTTGGAAAGAGGGATTTGGGGGTCATGCAGACTGGATCTGAATTGTGTTTCTGCCAAGTTCTTGCTCTCACACATGCGCACACACACTCACACACACACGCACTTTCCAGACCACAGATGCTGGGGGTCCTCCCTCCCCAGGTCCCATGGCCCCAGGCCCCCAAGCCTCCAGGAGGCCCCACCATCCTCACCTTCTCCCCGAAGATCCTCTGGCAGATTCCGTTCTTGGCCAGCTTCTCCTTGACCTGGCGCGTCAGCTCCAGCGTGTCCACCTCACGGTACATGTAGAGCTCGTACTGCTCGGGGGTCAGGGGCGGCACGGTGGGCT